CCTAGGAGACAGTGCCTTTGCCTGAGGCGCAGTGCTTTGTCACCACAAGTTCCAGGGACGAGATTCTAGTCCCTCTACCACAAAAGTAGCTCTGAAATCCACCCCAAAGGCTTTCATCCATGTTCTCCTCTTCTGGGTAAACACAAATGGTCTCCTTTCACACACCACCACAAGGGTGCTCTACCACACACACACACACACACACACACACACACACACACACACACCGTTTTTGTCTCATGGCTTTCCCTCAGTGGATAGAGCATCCATCCGCCAGTGGACTGAAGGGTCCCGGGTTTGATTCTGGTCAAGGGTGCCTGCCTCGGGTTGCACCTACCTCGGATTGTGGGGAGGCAATCAATCAATGTGTCTCTCTCACATCGATGTTTCTCTCTGTCTCTCACCCTTCCCTTCCACTCTCTCTAAAAATCGATGAAAAAATATCCTTGGGTGAGGATTAACACCCCCCCCCCCAAAAAAAAACACCAAAAAACCACCTCCCTACAGGATATATAGTCCAAACTTCGCAGTATGGTCCTGTGTCCTGATTCCTGCATACTTCTCTTGATCTCACCTGCCACCCACACATTCTGCTCACACTGGTACACTTAGGAGATCCTCAATGTGCTGTGTTACACGATACACTTAACTTCGTTTACACACTACACATACAAACTCCTAGTCCCACCCCCTTGTTTCTTCTTCTGGATTCACATAACACTCCCCCCCACAGTGTATCTAATCTGTATCTGCCTGGCTGACCCCTCCTACTAAATTTGCAGCTTTTTGTACAGCACGCCAAGTCTTACTCATTTCCTAAGAAATCCCTACAGCATCCTGTACAGGACCCAACTGTGAACTTAATCAATGATAGTGAAATGAAGACCCATGACAGAGAAACCAGCTGCCTGTAGCTGTCATTTTCCTCTCAAAGCATTATACAGTCTGGCCCTATGCCTGAGCCCACAGGGAGTTTGTTCTTGGCTTAAATGGTGGCAAAGTGGGCAACAGGTAAGAGTGAAGAAAACTGGTTTTGCCCCAACATAAGAATGTCCATAGTTCTGCCTCTGTCTTGATCCTGCTTTCCCAAGTGCTGCAAAAGGTGACAAGTATTTTTGTCAATCTCAAGTTTCTTAGCAATTTATCTATTCCACAATCAAGCTCCATAGGGGATAAATAAAGATTGAGTACTGAGACATATGAAAACATGCTCTAAGTCACTAATCATCCAAGAGATGCAAATCAAAACGACAATGAGGTACCATCTCATACCTGCCAGAATGGCTATCATCAACAGATCAACAAACAAGTGCTGGCAAGGATGTGGAGAAAAAGGAACCCTCTTGCACTGCTGGTGGGAATGCAGACTGGTGCAGCCACTGTGAAAAACAGTATGGAGTTTCCTCAAAAAATTAAAAATGGAACTCCCACTTGATCCAGTAATCCCACTTCTAGAAATATATCCCAAGAAACCAGAAACACCAATCAGAAAGGATATATGCACCCCTATGTTCACAGCAGCACAATTTACCATAGCTAAGATTGGGAAACAGCCTAAGCGCCCATCAGCAGATGAGTGGATTAGAAAACTGTGGTACATTGCTCTAGCCAGTTGGTTTGGCTCAGTGGATAGAACGTCGGCTGCGGACTGAAGTGTCCCAGGTTCAATTCTGGCCAAGGGGCACATGCCCCGGGTTGTGGGGCTTGATCTCCAGTAGGGGGGTGTTCAGGGAGGAAACTATTCAAGATTCTCTCTCATCAGTGGATGTTTTCTATCTCCTCTCTCGTTCTCCCTGTCGTCACTGATGCCTAATCGAAATGGATGTGTTAATAATGAAAAACTGGTGAGGTACAACTACACAATGGAATACTATGCTGCTATAAAAAAGAAGGAACTCTTACCATTTGCAACAGCATGGATGGACCTGGACAGCATTATGCTAAGCAAGATAAGCCAGTCAGAGAAAGATAAATATCACATGATCTCACTCATTTGTGGAATATTATGAACAACATAAACTGATGAACAAAAATAGAACCAGTCATAGAAGCATCGAACAAACTGTTCAACCTATGAGGGAAGGTGGGGAGTGAGGGGGTAAGAGATCAACCAAAGGACTTGTATGCATGCATATGAGCATAACCCATGGACACAGATGGGGGGGTGAGGGCATGTGCTGGGGGGTGGGGGCAGCAGGGGAGAGGTCAATGGGGGGAAAAGGAGACTTAGGTAAATTTTTTTTTAATTGAGTACTAAGCAAGGGCCCAATTATTTCCATACAGAGGGTCTTAATCCTGGCATCAAAGAGTTACAGAGGCCATATAAAGGCCAGGTATTATCATCATTAGGAAACCCCAATGGCTTCTATTTGTCAGACAGGATTTTGTCCCAACTTCCCTTTCTCCCTTTCCCTGAGAGCTCAAACTGAGCGACTGGACAGGACACACACTTAGTCTGGATTAGCACTGCCCACACCAAGGCATTTTAGTCACTCTCACCGGCTTTATTTCCACACCCCCCAAGAGCCAATTGAAAGAAAGCAGAGGCCTTACAAAATGGCGCTGAAATGCCGTCTGAGTGAATACTTTTCAGAGTGCCTCTGAACTGTAGCCACTACATACTCCAGACTTTTCCGAAGAGTAATCATCTGTGAAGAGAAGAGGAATGCCAGGAAGCTTAAGAAACTGGGAAGGAAAGGGAAAGGTGGTTGGTTTTTGAAAGAACATCAGTGTCAAACTGCTTCTGAGCTCTGGTAAGGATTTCCCAATTTGTCTTTGGAAGTGGGCAAAGCTGAAGCCAAATCTCGTATCCTAAGAAAACTAACTCAAAGACACAGACCTTTCTGCTTCGACAGCAGCTAAAATCAAATTGTACATTATAACATGTATGAACTTTGAAAACATTATACTAAGTGAAAGAAGCCAGATACAGAAGGCCACACACAGTGTGATTCCATTTATATGAAATGTCCGGAACAGGCAAAACTAGAAACAGAGAAAGTAGATTATGGATTGTGAAGGGTTGGGGCTGGGGGATGAGGGAGTGACTTAATTCATAGTTTCTTTTGGGGGTAATGAAAAAGTTCTGGAATTAGATCATGATTATGGTTGTACAGCTTTGCTGAGTATACTACAAATCACTAATTTGTACACTTTAATAGGATGAATTTATGTGATATGGATTACATTTTAATTTTTTTTAAATAGAGGGAAAAAGTAAGTTGCAGCCAGTATTGTGACCGCAGAATGGAGGCCCTTCTCATTAGAGCAATGGTCCTTCAAGTGTAGTATGTAGAATCACCACTGGAAAATTACCAGAAGTGTAAATCCCAAGGCTCTGCCCCAGACCCACATAATTTAGAAATCTGGAAGAGGAAGCCATATGATCTGTTTTAACAGGTGCTCCTGGTGCATTTTTTAGAGCTATTTTTCCAGAGTAGAAAAAACTTTTTGCGTAAAGGACCAGAGAGTAAATACTCTAGGTTTTGCATGTTACATGCATTGGGTCTCTGTCACATATCCTTTTCTTCCTTTTTACGGCCCTTTAAAACCTTGAGCCATGGTTTGCCAACTCCTGCTCGAGAGCAACACAGCTCCCATTCTGGGAGCTCTCTGGAGCTTCCAGCAGACAGGTGGGTTTTTCCCTTGTAATAAGGTAGATGAGCAATGGCTTCCGGGCTTCGGACAGGTAGGTTCCCCTAAAGTTGTTGCCCTCCCTCCAGGCCAAGGCTAAAGTCAGTCCAGATCCTATTTTCCATCCAGGTGTTATTAACTCAGCTGCAGACAGTTCGTTGTGCTTTGAAGAAATTTATTCAATTCACAGTGGTATCTTTGAACAGTCAGTAAATTCTACTAGACAAAGCTCAGACAGACACTGACCCCAGGTATGCCACAACAGTCCCCCAAGGAGGGTGAGAAATCACCTACAGCAGCCAAGTTGGAAAGGGCAAGTGACTGTGCTTTGCTGTGTGTCCTTGAAGGCTCTTTGGTCCTGGCTGGTTTTCTCTTATAGGCGTCCAAATAAAACTTCCCTTTCCTAGTCAGTACACACCAGTCTTTGGTATTTAACCGAATGGGCTGAAGAAGGGAGGTAGCCAGGAAATTACACCCATTACAATGTGTGGTTGATGCCTACATAGATCCTTTTTACTCACAGTTAGTAGAATTATCTTTTTTTTTTCCCAAGGTGACCAGAGCCACAGCCATTCTAGATCTGTGTGTGTGTGTGTGTGTGTGTGTGTGTGTGTGTGTGTGTGTATTATTCATTTCAGAGAGGAAGGGAGAGGGAGAGATAGAAACATCAATGATTAGAGTGAATCATTGATGGGCTGCCTCCTGCAGGCCCCCTACTGGGGATTGAGCCCACAACCCAGGCATGTGCCCTGACCAGGAGTCAAACCGTGGCCTCCTGGTTCATAGGTTGATGCTCAACCACTGAGCCATACAGGCTGAGCAGAAATATCTTTTAAACACAGAAATAAAATCAGACATGATTTTAGAGCAGAACAAATTATCTATAGACAGGGCTTGAGCACCATGGAACTCTGCTGCCTCACACAATGACCTTTTTTCAGCACTAAGAACTCCCAGGTGTCTGATAAAACTCAAGGTTAGCAGCACTCCCAAAGAACCTTTCTGACAGGGGCAATGAGGAGAATGGGGTAGAGTGGAGATGAGCCCCAACACAGACCAGCCCTCCCTCCCCCCGTGTTAGCTAGAACTACATGGGTAAAGGTTTCATGGCTTGAGAGAAGATGACACAGAGGAAAGAGGAAAGAAGAGTAGGAACTTCTCTTTGTCCCAGGGGTTCTTCCCAATCCCAAAGTTTTCCTAATTTTTCCAATCGATTTGCTGAATGTCTCCCTCTGGTCCCAGCAACTTCTCCCTGAGGGGGCCTCAGCTCCTGGTTTCCATGGGATGGAAGGGGGAAGCAGACAGAGGATTTGGTCTTCCGCCCCTTGTTCACTTTCATCCCCTGGAGCCCAATAAACCAAGTGCCTGGGTAGAAGCATGAGGAATTCTGCTGCCTCATACACCCCCAAGTACACCGGAACCTTAGGCCCTGTTGGCAAAGAGGAATGAGGGCACAGGCAGCTAAGGAGGAGCTGGTGAATATTGGTACAGACTGGTCCTTGCTGAGGCGGGACATTTAGAGACCCTTATTGAAGTAGACAGAAGGCACAAGTTCTCCATACTTGGCCTTGATGGTGTCTTGGAGCTCCTGTTCCAGGTAGGAAACTGGCAGTTCACTGAGGAGAGAGAAGAAGGTTATGAGTATGCCACCTAGACAGCAGCAAATTACCCTTCGATACCAACTCAAATACCACTTCTAAAAAGCCCCTTCCCCATTTGTCCCTTCAGAATTAGTAAGAGCTACTGTACAACACAATATGTTGCTTTTACCTCTACTCAGGCCTGTCTTCCTTCTCCCTGGTGCTCAACTTCCACCTTCTCCACAAGATTACAGGCACAGTGCTCGGAACACAGGAGACATCTAACAGATGACCACTGAGCTAAGAGCACTAAGGAAGGGGAGAGTGGCATCTCCTCGGAATATATTCCAGGTCTGTATTCATACCTGGTCTCCTGGAACAAGTCCGTCCTCCCACCCACCTGATGCTGCCCTTCCATGACATGGTGGATGAAAAGGTTCAATTCATCCACCCTCTGGCAAATAAGAGCCAGAATAAGGACCTGGGTCCAGCCAGGGGAGATTTATCTAATAACCCAACCAGCAGGACAGAGTCTCTTGTTGTTCCCCCACTTTCTCTCCAAGGCAGCCCTTGCTGCCCTGGAAGCAGTTCATCCCTTTGGAGACGTGTTCTGGCTTACCATTCACGCAGGGTTAAGAGGCCCAGAGTTTAGGCTGACAGGCACTTGTCGCTGGACAAATGCTGCCCTTCTTGCCCCTCCCTCTCTCCTTCCGGACAGCAAGCAGGGCAGGGAGAGTAGGGACAGGACATTTGGAAAAACAAAGGAAGGAATGAATAGCTGATACCATATCTGTGGGAAGAGCCCACATGCCACTGGCACCATGAAGATGAGGCTGCATTCTAGCACGGATTAAAATCAGCCAGCCTCCACCCTTCATCCCTTACCCCGATCCACCCCTGTTGTTCAAGCACATGAAGTCACTAGGGAGTGCAGGCAGCAGCCCCTAAAGACCACATGCATCCACTGATATGCAGGGAAAGCAGTGAGGGGTGTGAATCCAAAGGCCCTGCTCCTCTATTCACTGAACATCTGGACCAGGGGTGGGCAAACTTTTCTTTTTTAATATATTTTATTGATTTTTTACAGAGAGGAAGGGAGAGAGATAGAAACATCGATGAGAGAGAAACATCAATCAGCTGCCTCCTGCACATCCCCCACTGAGGATGTGCCCGCAACCCAGGTACATGCCCTTGACCGGAATCGAACCTGGGACCTTTCAGTCCGCAGGCCGACGCTCTATCCACTGAGCCAAACCGGTTTTGGCTGGGCAAACTTTTTGACTCGAGGGCCACAATGGGTTCTTAAACTGGACCGGAGGGCCGGAACAAAAGCATGGATGGAGTGTTTGTGTGAACTAATATAAATTCAAAGTAAACATCATTACATAAAAGGGTACGGTCTTTTTTTTTTTTTTTTAGTTTTATTCATTTCAAACAGGCCGGATCCAGCCCGCGGGCCGTAGTTTGCCCACGGCTGAATTCTGGACTGTTGGAGAACAGTAAGGGGCAGGGTTGATCAAACTTCAGTGTGCATACAAATAACTCCAGGGGCTTAGAAAAATGCGATGCTGATTCAGTAGGTCTCGGGAAAGGTTTGAGAGTCTTTACTTCTAACAAGTTTTCAGATGATGCAGGTCCAGAACAATGTCTCACAGGACTTGGGAGTCTAACAGACCTGAGTTCCTACCACAGCTTTGACACTTAGAAGTTGTACAGTCTGGGGCACGTTACCTCTGGGCCAGCAGAGGGAGGACAAGAGTGTCTGCTTTGCAGCGTCACTGCGAGGATTCAATGCGATAACAACCTATGTGCAGCACCCGACCTGTGGGAACTGCCCACCCGTGGTAATTCAATTAACAGAAGTTTAGCATGTCGCCGAGGACCAATCTCAGCTCCAGCAATTGAGCAAGTGTCTTCATCGCTCCAAGCCTTTTGTAAAAGAAGATAATGGCATCTATGCTTCCAGGGCTGGGGAAATTAAGTGAAATTATAGATGTGCAGCACTAGCACAGGGAGCACATTCAATATGTGTTAGTTGTTGTTGCCGTCATTAGCCCTGTAGTCCTGGGAAGCATGATTAATGGTAGGACATGTCCAGTCGATGGCAGGCACCTAAGAATGCTGCCATGACGTGTTTTCCTCCCGTGCGAGGTTGGGATGCTTGACAGCCCCAGGCTGTCTCACATTTTTGTCTCTTTGTGTATTTTATCTATTTATTTATTTTATTGAGATATAATTGACATGTAACAATGTGGAAGTTTAAGATGTTGATTTGATACATTCACATATCGCAACATGATGATCTGAGTGTTAGCTAACACCTCTATCATGTCGCATAACTATCACTTCTTTTTCATGGTGGGATTGTCTCTTTTTTTTTTTCTTTTGAAATAAAATTGGGTTTTTTTTTTAATTTTCATAATTGAGATTTTATGGTTTTGAAATAAAGTTTTTATTGCTGATAGTATTACAGATATCTCCCATTTGTCTCATCATTTTTGTCTCTTCTCCAGACTGAAGGTCAGAGGGAAGACCCTGGGACAGGAGGGTACCCAAGCTTTCTGCCTTCCATGCTCATGTGTACACAGAGCCTAGCTAGCCTGGTTCCCTCCAAAGAGATGAGGTGAGAGCTCTCTAGATGGATCACAGGTGTACTGAGCCCCAGCGCTGTGGAAGTCAGGCAAAGGAGTGCATGCTCTTCAACACAGGTGACATAAGAAGACAGACCTTGGTGCCCCAGCTACCACAGAACCCAAACCAAGAAAACATCTTACTCACAAGCACCCACACAGCATAACCTGCAACGGCGCATGCAGGACCTTGACTTTCTGCACAAAAACAAACAAAAGGAAAACCCACATGGGACTTACATACCTTAAGGTGAACCCCACGCCTGCCCCGCGCCCAACCAACCAGCCTCAGGTATAAGACTGCTGGCCCTGACGGAGAGGAGAAGGGCTCTCCTTGCTCTCTGTAGACAAGGCCAAGCAACCCGCTATGTTGTCTGAAGCGGGCAGCCAGGGGGGACTGGGATGATGAGCCCTACTTCAGTGAGATGAAGACTGGCAGCTAGAGGGAAGGAGGAGAGGACCAGGAGCTCCCAGGCACAGGTGTGGTGGGAGGACTCTGGGCAGGGAAGAGGCAAAAGGAAACCCCACTCACCTGCATGAAGGGCAGTTTCTCCAGCCTTTCCATGACGATTGGCAATAAGACTGAAAGAAACCAGGGAGAAGCCGGGGGGACCTGTAAGACTCTCCCTAAGACCCCTTTCCGAAGTCAGATCAGGGACTGAATGATTCTCCCTCCTTCCACAGAAGCTCCAGGAAATACTTTTCATTTGGGAGAATGGCCACTCTGACTTGTCCCCCATGTCCCAGCAGAAGGGTGCTTCCCAAAGCACACCGGCAACAATAGAACACGTGCCCAGACCCAAAGTGTCCTCAAAACTCAAAACTATGTCTGAGAGCTCATGTAAACAGACTTTTTATCTTCCCCTGTAACATGCCCCTGCTGGAAGCACAACCAGGGAAGGGGATTTATTTTCGCTACCACTGTCTCCCCGGGACCCCACACTGTGTCCAGTACATTGAAGGTACCTAAGAAATATGTGCTGAATAAAAATAACGTCAAGTGTCTCATCAATTGATGTTCCAAGAACTACAGTGTGGTTCTCCTGTGGCTTTCAGCACTCAAGCAAACCAGTATGAGAAGCATCGCTGTAGAAGCTGGGGTCCCACCTCCCACCCGAAAGCTGAGTGTGGCTGAGGCCTCTATCATGTGCTCCAGGGGCCCCCATCTTACTCATGCCAGGGGCTGCCATGGTGATCCGAGAAATAACCACTTGGGTGATGCCTATGGCCGCAGCTCTCTGAGGGCAGAAAAGAGCAAGTTGTTAGGAATGACCTTATCCAATATCCATGGCTGGGCCAGTCAGGGTCATAGCCAAGTCTGAGCTGGTACAGGGGAAGGGATGGACCTGCCAGGGGCTGAGTGGCTTCTCCCAACCTTCGCCTACCCAGCCAGCTTCAGGACTAGAAATGAAGCAGAAAGGACATGAGAAATGTCCCAAACAGAGAAATGTGGGGTGGGAATTGAGGAGAATGAGAGTGGAGTCGGGGAGATCCTGCTCTGACCACTAAGGACAGGACAGGGTATGAAAGGGAGTTCCCTCCTCCCACCCAAAGGGAGACCTTTGCTCACCCGGGAATGACCAAGCTCATTATGATTTTTGTCCTTCACGGAGATGCCTTGGATGAGTTCCCTAGACACAGACAGGAGATGCTGGATTTGCGAAAGGGGTGCTGGAAGCCTGCCAGCCATGTGACACACCAGGGGACCAAGGCCAGGGGACCAAGGCCAGGGCACTCACGCTCTAGGGAGCCACCTCCGTAGCCACCTCCGTAGCCTTGCCCTGTGACCTTCCCCTGCACTCCAGCGAGTGGTATCTGAAGTGATCTAGGGCATTGGCTAAGAGAGCTAGTCCTGAGCCCAGACTGCCTAGGTTGAATCCTGACACTGTAGAGTGTGTCTGATCATGAGCAAGTTCCCTAATCCTTCTAAAGACTGTTATCAACTGCAAAATGGAGACAATCCTGACACCCGCTTCATAGGACTCAGTGTTTTAACAGGATAATGCCTGCAAAGTGGTTAGTCCGGTGTCTGACACGGCGCGCCTGCACCACAAACAGTAGCTGCTCTGGTTATTATTCTCAGGCCAGTTCTTGACAGCATTCGCCCCAAAACCAGGTAGACGGCTGGGACTTATTCATTTGATGGAAAGGAGAAACTGGATGGGGAAGGGAGAGAGTAGAGGAGCAATGTGTATGCACAGCTATCCCGTAGTGTGCTCTCAGCAAGGGCAACGTGACACATTTCCACTTACTAGCAGTTCTAAGAAAATGTGGCTGTAGAAATTGGTGATGATGATGAAGGCAATGATGACAACAGCAGCAATAAAAGCTAACATTTATATAGCACTTGTTATGTTCTAGGTGCTATTTTGAGGACTTTACATCTATTACATCATTCAATTGTATAACAGAGGAACATCTATGCTTTCTCTAGTCAAGAAATAAGAACTGCTCTAGCTGGCATGGCTCAGTGGATAGAGTGTTGGCCTGCAGACTGAAGGATCGGAGGTTCGATTCCGTTCAAGGGCATATGCCTGGGTTGCGGGCTCGATCCTCAGTAGGGGGCGTGTAGGAGGCAGCCGATCCATGATTCTCTCTCATCATTGATGTATCTATCTCCCTCTCTTCCTCTCCCTTCCTCTCTGAAATCAATAAAAATATTTTTTAATTAAAAAAAAAAGAAATAAGAACTGAGAGACACAACAGCTTTCTCCTTTTAACTATTCTTAGAGCTGGGTACCTGGAAAACATCGACCTATTCCTCCGGCTTCTTTCAAAGCTTCTTGGCTCTGTTCTATCTTTGGACACCTCGCTCTGGGGCATTTCATTCTGTAAACCATCCCCAGGGCTTTGGAAGTAGGCAGCGCTCACAACTTAAATACAGTTGCAGTTGAAAGAACATGATTGAGTATAAAATGCACAGGCTATGTCTCCATCCCACACCATCAAAAAAATGGCTCCCACATACCCATCACAGATTAAACCTAAATTACCCGCCACTCGTATTGGAGTGGCCATCACTATTAGAGTAGCCGATCCTCAGGGACCCTTCAGAGGCACAGCCTGGCAGCCTCCCCCCACATCCACCCCAGCTCCAAGAAGCCACCCACTGCCTTGGTCTCTTGCCTTGGTTTCCCTGCTGATCTTGTGGCTGGTAAGGAGGAAAGGGGACCCCTGTACTCACTGCTGTCGCATCATTGGGATATTGACACAGTTAGCAGCAGCTACAGCAGCAAAGGGCACCCAGCGGGCCACCAAGGGTGGAGCTTTCTGTTGGAGAAAGGGAACAATGGGAGTTGTTGAGGCTCGCTGAAAGGTGAGAGTGGAGGGACTTACGGGCTACAAAACAAGGGCTACTGCCACACACCCAGGCACCCATCTGGGAAGCCAAACTCGCTCAGAGGCCTGAGAAAGACCAACCTGGGGACAGCCCTGCTGCATTTCCCATTACCTGGCTGGGCTCTGGTTATACCCCAACTCACCCAGATGGGGCAATGCCTAGTTCTCCCTAGGACTTTGCTGCCCCCTGGTGACCACCATGCCCACAGCAGCCCCAGGAGTACCTTTGTCAACATGTTCATGCTCACAGCAGTGGTCACCGCAGTAGTTGTGGCTGTGAGGTAGGAAAGGGCCATCTGCCTAGTGGAGGAGAGAGGTGCTTAGGAATGGGGAGCCCTTTGGGCTGAGAGTAAGACCATGGCTTGAGGGAGGAAGTCTGGAAATGAGGCTTCATACCTGAGAAGTTCATGTGGTTTGTCCGTGTCACCTTGTAGCCTCCCCCTAACTCCAGGTGATCCAGCCCCCTGGGCCTCCTTTCTGTACTTTATTTATATTTGAATCCAACAAATACTTATTGAGTGTCTATTATGTGCTATAGATTGTTCCAGGTGCTTCCTTTCTGTCCTTTAAACACACCCAGCTTTTTCCTACCTCAGGATCTCTGCACACCGCTGCTCCCTTCCCAGGGTATTCTTCCCTGGGCTCTTTCTTTTCTTTTTTTAATATATTTTTATTGATTTCAGAGAGGAAGGGAGAGGGAGAAAGAGAGAGAAACAAAAATGATGAGAGAGAATCGTTGATTGGCTGTCTCCTACACATTCCCTTCTGGGGATCGAGCCCAGGCATGTGCCCTGACCACGAATCCAACCATCACCTCCTGATTCATAGGTCAACACTCAACCACTGAGTCACACTGGCTGGGTTCCCTGGGCTCTTTCATAGCTAAATCCTTATCCTTCAGAACTCAGCTGATACATCAGCTGTATAGGGAGGACTTCCCTGACCAGCCTATCTACACAGACACCTCTCTGCTGTTCTCTATCTTGTCACCTGTGTGTTTCCTAATGGCGACAATCTGAGATTATTGTACTTGTTTTCTTAGGAAACCTTAAATTCTACAAGAAGAAGGACCACAAATGCCTTACTCAAATGTATCCCCAACACCTGAGCCATTCCTGACATATGTGTAGAATGAATGTAGAAGAAATACTTTTAGAATGAACACATTTTGCCCTAGCCAGTTTGGCTCAGTGTATAGAGCATTGGCCTGCGGACTAAAGGGTCCCGGGTTCGATTCCAGTTATACCCAGGTTTCGGGCTCAATCTCCAGTGGGGGGCGTGCAGGAGGCAGCCAATTAATGATTCCCTCTCATCATTGATGTTTCTATCTCTCTCTTCCTCTCTGAAATCAATAAAAATATATTTTTTAAAAAATGAACACATTTTGAATTGGTCCAAGAAGATGCTTTCCTAGTCAGCTTAAGACAACACTTCCAAGCCCTGAAAAGGGAGGAACTTCATCACCTGTCCAGTGTGAACCCTACGCAGGGAGGACTGGCAGCCTGAGAACCCTTTAGAAAGGTTGTTCCCCTGGAGGCAAAAGGACAGCCACCTCCTCCAAACCCACGTGGACAGCCTGGGGTTCGAGTCTCCTACCTGACTGATGTGGGGGAAGCCGCATTCCTGTTGGTGTAGTTGACTAAGGCATTGAAGGACTGGTTCACCCATTGCCAGAAGATGATCGCTGGCGTCGTCCTACCAGTAATCGAGGTCCGGAAAGGAGAGGAGAATGGAAGGGAGGGCTTGGTATACACAGGTCAAACCATGTTAACAGCTGTTCCCCAAACTGCTCCCATGTTCTATACACCTGGGCTTTTGTACAGTCTTGCCCCTCTTCCTGGAACACACACACACACACACACACACACTCACACACTCACTCACTTTCACACTCACACTCTGTTCCATCCATGGCTAAATCCTGCCCTGTTGAGAGATTACTTCCTCCTTGGAACCTTTTTTGACCCTTCCCCTGCCCTTCCTGAGATGAAGTCATCCCATGCTCCCAACTCTTAAAATCCCATATTCTCTCAACCTACCACTTAGCAAGCTGGACTGTAACAGTTCACTTACTTCTTGGTCTCTAACAAAACTGAAAGCTCCTTGAGGGGAAGGAAGGACTAAAGTCTTTATATTCCTAACAGCTGGGGCCCAAAGTCTGGCTCAATAACTAGACAAATAAATGCGTAGGGGGGCGGGAGAAGGAGGAGAGGAAGGGGGAAGAGCCACACATCCAGTAGCTACAACGTTTATTCTCTCCCCAACTGAGCTGAAAGGGCCTTCCTATTTTTTTCCTGGGATATTACATTATAAAATGCATTAAATTCATTGTTAATATAAGCACCTTTTAAAGAGGAAATTAGTATCGTGTATTCACTGAGCGTTCTAGAAAGGACTGCCTTAGTTAAAACCCAGGTACCAATACTTCCTGGCTGTATGAGCTTGCACAAGTTATATAACCTCTCTGGAACCTCAGTTCCTCATCTATAAAATGGAGAGGTAATAGTACCTCTCTGTAGGACTGTTGAGAAAATTACATGAGGTAACACATTCAAAGAATTCAACACAGTGCCTAGTATCGGGAAAGTTTCAATAAAGATGGCGATTATTATAATAGGGCTCCCTGGCTAGCAGAACCAAGTGGCTACACCTCCGATCGCCTTGCCCCCAAGTCCCACCTGTAGAACTGGAGCATGAAGCCTGTGATGATCATGCCGCCGGGAACCTGGAAGGACATCCGTCCAATGACATTCATCTTCTCCCCGGTGTCAGGGTGGAAGGCAGAGTCATAGAGCTTTTTGGCATACAGCAGCTGCTCCACTTGAGTCCCTGGGGGCACGACCCCCATCCTGTCACCCAAGGACAGAGTTACCCCCATGTCCCCCCACTCCAAGTCATCCTGCTCTAATTTCTCCCTCCTCCCTGAGATTTCTGCCTGTACCCTCATCTTCAGTTTCCACCTCCTCTAGGGAACCCATCCAAATTGCCCCAGTGCCTCCAACCCCCTTCCCCTAACCATTCACCTGCTTTTCTCCACCATCATCTTGGCCCAATCCAGCTCCCCCTCTGGTACCAAAACAGTGCAAGGGTCCGTGATATTGAAGAAGTGCTTCACCCGCCCCAGGAAAGTGGACTGGTCCCAACGGGGGGCATCGATGTTAAAACCAGACAGGTCAGGCTCCATCTTGCTTCGCACACAGAACTGTGTACTTAAGGAAGACAGGAAAAATGAGGACTGTTCCCTAAATCAAAACCTGACCCGGGAGCCCTGGGCATCTCCCACTCTGGTAAACTGCCCGCTTTCACCAGCCACTGCCGTCATCTCACTCAGTCTGGGAAGGACTCAGACTGAGCAACTGGGTACCACCATGTGTTTCCTGAGTGCCTGCTGGTGGCCAGCCCTGTGCTTGATCATGCTGCGGGGGAGACTGGTAAAGGGGACAACACAGTGCCTGTACTTGGGGAGCGGAGTCTGACTGAGGAACAAGAGCCCACAGTGGAATCATATGTAATATGTACAGCAACAATAATACAGGAGATCAGCAGAAGCAGAGACGAAGGAACAGAGTAATCAGAGGGGGCTTCCCAGAAGGAGTGGAATGTGAGGGAGGCCCTAGGAGATAGATTTATCTGAAGGAGGTAGAAGGCATGGGATCACATTAAAGGTAGAAACAATCACAGATAAAGTGGAAATGAACATGGCATGATCACTTTCGTCATTTCAGTGTCTGTGTGTGGTGCATGTCGGCCCTGTGAGAGATTCAGGGCCATGGCTGTGAGCAAGGCGCCATGTCTGCCCTCAAGGAATTTCAGAATAGAGGTTAAACAGGTAAGTAATTCAATACGGACAGCAGAATAAACAATGCTGCCGCCAGACCCTGGGAGCAGTGGAAAGCCAGAAAAGAGGCATCTAAGACTGAGACGACCATATCTCCCAGTTTGCCTAGGAGTGTTGGCCTGGGGTCATTACTAATAGCACCCCTTTCACTCTCAATTTGCATGTGTCCCAATTTGCATGATAAATTAAATGGTCACCTTATCTGAAATAGATGAGGGACTTTTTTTTTTTTCAGTCAACAGAGCCTTTATTAACATGCAAGTATCATTTGCCACAAGATATACATGTTATCCTAATCTTTCAGTTCTTTTTCAATATTTTAACTTAAGCTTACTTGTGGATCTAATATAAAAAGTAACCTACTAAAATCGGTCAAAGTAAAATTTGATTCTATCTATCACCTTAACCTTTTATTATTTAGATTTATAATTGACATCATTTGTCTCAAGTAGCAGAATATAATTCTTGTACTTGATAATCTTCTATACTAAAATATGTGCCAGTATATCTTAAGAAATTACTAAATATATGGAATTAACATAGATATTTAACTGCTTTCAATAAGCTGGAAAGTACAATGTTAAGTTTTCTAAGAGGAAAATCATTTATAGATCTTGGTTGTTTATGGTTTTTGCAGTTTCCATAAAAACTGGTCCATATTAAACCAGTGTTGAAGAATTAAGATGGAAACTTAAAAACCCTAATGACAGTCTTGATTTACTAAGATAGAAACAATAATAAACCAAACTACAGTTCTCTTTTCCCAGGCCCAAGCAGAGATGCTCTGTTATAGCTTTTGAAAAATTTTTTGTCTGCTTAGTATAAAAGTTGAATGACCTCTTTATAAGTTAGATATCAGTAGGAGACCCACAGATGATGGGCATATTTATTGGGACACATTTTAGTTAATAGAAGATAATTCATATACCGTATCAAAATGCATTATAAGATTTGCACTATATCTGTCCACATGCTTGTCATATTTTATAACATTTCAGTTGGATGCAGGAAGACTGGAATTGTTCAGAAAAGTCTAGCTTTTAAGATGTGGGTAAAGTTCACAGTGAGTCTTTTAAAACATTTAAATAACCAGAAGTATAATAACAAGAAGGGATTATGTAAGAAGAATGAATATTGCAAAGGAAGCTTTATAGTCAATGAAAATACAGTACTTTGGATTGGCCAATATGCACAGTACACATGAAATCAAGGTCATGTACTTTACTTATTGACCACGTGGCTACAGTTCAAAAGGTCACTACTCCAACAGCCTTACCAAGTAATCTTCCAAATTGCTTTTAAATAAAGTTCTTCAATTGTAGCAATGAACAAAAAGACAAGAAACACTTAAAACAATACTGCAGTTTATCAAAAGACACATAAGAAATTTCAACTCATGTCTTTGACAGTTATAAAAATCAATGTTTGGCTAAGTTATAAACATGCTTATAATGCAATTATTTGCATAATTCTAATAATAGTAATGACAGCTCTAAGATCAGAATAGGTTTAAAAACAACAACACTAAAAACATAAAAATACATAGCCCCATTATTTACCTGTAGAGTATGTTCATTTACGACTAAATTTCAGCATTTACTATATCGCCACTGCTCTAATTTTAAAAATCACATCCAAAGGGAAAGGCAAAACTACCTAGCAACTGCCTATTTGATTATTTCTCAATTTGTGAACATGTCCTTAATCTGTTGATGTAGCAAACAAATTTCAACTGTGTCATGCAAAAGAAGAGACGACAGTCTGCCTTGCAATGAACTTTAAAGTTCAATTGCACACAAGCAACATGCTATATATGAAAAAATTACTAACTGAACTACAGGTATTAAATACTGAAAATAGTTAACAGTTTGTTATAATTTATTTTATTTAACAATCTAGGAAGTTTGCAGCCATCAGCAGTTCCAGTGCAATTTCAGGTGCAATTGGGAATTCAGGAATCTCCCTGGAGCTGTTAGCATAGCGAACCTTGTAAGTAAAATACATGCATACTTTGGATAGCACATGTGAAGGGATCTCTCTAAAACTGACTTCATTAGTTTCATTCTCAGCAAACTGACCTGGGCCACTCAACATGGCTTGTATCGTTCCTGATGTTAATGCATGTTCTCTTTTTACAATAAATTCATGACCATCTGAAAATATCAACTTGACATACATGGCATCAGGGCCTTCACAGCCACCATAGGCTTCTCTTCTTCACTCGTCAGCCCCGCAGCCACCGCAGCCACCATGCCAGGTCCCCATACACCACCACAGCCTCCACTCCAGGGCCATCCCTCCACCCCCACAAGCCTGCCGCCGTGAGTTCCAGGCTAGATGAGGGATTCTGAACACACTTTGTTAGTATGAGAATTAAGCAATGTTTTGGAAATATGCATAGACGTTAAATAGATGGAAGAGCAGTATTTCAAGCAAAAAGAAGAGCCAGCACTGAAAGCTCATGGTGTGCACAATGTCACTCCTATCCTCACAACAAGAAAAAAAGCTGAACAAACTAAAAATCAACAACTCTTCTTAGCCCCATCAGAGAATTGAGATCACAGGGCAAACCACTGCCCCAAAACCTGGAGACAGGCAGGTAAAGAGACACACAGCTCATTGAGAGCAGCCCACTGTTAGGGCAAGGATCACTGGAAAACTTAAACTGCAATCAACGAATTTCTGGAGTTTGATGTGGACAAGTGGGGACTCAATCTTGGGGGACACTACTTTTGTGAGTTTTACCTCCAGAAGCCCACTAGGTTCTCAAGGTGAAGATCAGAAAAATATCTCCTAGTGCTTCTGGCAGCCAATCAAGGATTCCCTCTCATCATTGATATTTCTATCTCTCTCTCCCTTCCTCTCTGAAATCAATAATTTTTTTTAAGAGAGAGAGAGAGAGAAAATAATTTAAAAAGAATAGAATAGCCAAGAACCTTGGGACAATTACAAAAGATGTGGCAAACACATAATGGGAATACCAGAAGGAGAAGAAAGGAAAAGAAGAAATATTTGAATAAGTAATGACTGAAAATTTTCCAAAATTAATGACAGACACCAAACCACAGATTCAGGAGTCTCAGAGAACACCAAGCAAGATAAATGCTCCAAAATCTATATTTAGGCATATTATATTCAAGCTGAAGAAAATCAAGATAAAGAATATCAAGAAAGCCCTAACCGGTTTGGCTCAGTGGATAGAGCATCGGCCTGCGGACTCAAGGGTCCCAGGTTCGATTCCAGTCAAGGGCATGTACCTTGGTTGCGGGCACATACCCAGTAGGGAGTGTGCAGGAGGCAGCTGATCGATGTTTCTCTCTCATCGATGTTTCTAACTCTCTATCCCTCTCCCTTCCTCTCTGTAAAAAATCAATAATATATATATATATTTTTTAAAAAGAATATCAAGAAAGAAGCCAGAAAGAGGGGATAAAAACACCTTACTTAGAGCAAAGAATTACATCAGACATCTCTTTAGAAACCATGTAAGCAAGAGAAGAGTGAAATATTTACTAGTAAGTGTTGAAAGTACAAAACAACAACCCATGAACCTAGAATTCTACATCAAACAAAATGATCCTTTAAAAATAAAGGAGAAAAAGAATTTCTCAGACAAACAAAATTGAAGGAGTTTGTCAACAAGAGACCTGACTTGCAAGATGTTAAAGAAGTTCTTGAGAAAGAAAGAAAATTATATAGGTTATAAACTCTGACCTACATAAAGAGTGTCAGAGAAGAAATAAATGAAGGTTAAAAATAAAATCTTTACTTTTCTTCTTCTAATTGTTAACAGTTAACAAACAGATAACAGTGTGTTCAAAATAATAATAGCAACCATGTATCCAGTGATTATAGCTGTAAATAAGTGAATGATATAGTGGATGGGAGGGAGGAACTGAGAATACTCTACTGTAAGGTACTTGTACTACCAATGAAGTGGCATAGTATTACTTGAAAGTGGACTTGGATTAGTTGTAAATGTATATTGCAAACTCTAGGGAAACCAGTAAAAAATTTTCCCAAAAGAAAAATTAATAATAGATATGCTAAGAGAAGAGAGAAACTGGAGTCAAACAGAAAGCTAAGACTTTGGAACTTTTGCCTAAAAATTTCAGGAAGAAGCCCAGCCAGCATGGCTCAGTGGTTGAGTGTCGACCTATGAACTAGGACAGTGATGGCGAACCTTTTGAGCTCGGCGTGTCAGCATTTTGAAAAACCCTAACTTAACTCTGGTGCCGTGTCACATATAGAAATTTTTTGATATTTGCAACCATAGTAAAACAAAGACTTATATTTTTGATATTTATTTTATATATTTAAATGCCATTTAACAAAGAAAAATCAACCAAAAAAATGAGTTCGTGTGTCACC